TCACAAAGAGAACGGTCTGAGTCAAGAGGTTAAATGATGTAGATGAATTAAAATAAAGTAGTCAAGGTAGTTAAAGGATTTTATAGAAAAGAACGTTAAAGAGAGTGATTGAAACGGTTTTATTTTATTGAATAGTTTTGATTTATATACTTTTTATTATCCTTTTACTATTCAATAAAATTTATAAAAAAAAAATAGACTGTAAAACGATTTGAGAAAGATTTGTATATAAAACTCACTTACTCAATAATTTCCATTCCAATCAAAGTTAGTTGATATGAATTATAACAAAACAAACAAAAATAAACTCAACTTACTTTTAAATGAATATATAAAAATGTATATTATAATTCTTTATTTCTGTTTATATTTAACATTTCAGAATGAAGGAGATACAAAATATTTATTTGGTATAATTCATTAGATAAACATATTATGTTGACTATGAATCTAATTTTTATTTTGTGTTATATCATTTTCAATGTTATAAATGAAATTTGAATTTGACTTATTTTATTAAGAAAAGTACTGTTGATAGACTATGAACTTCATTTATTCTTCTATTAGTTGTTTGACAAATTACTACAATAAACAAATCAATAAAGTTTTTTTTAAATGAATATAAAAAATATGTGTTATTCTTTTTTTACAAACAGATTAGAATGAATCTTCAATGGTTTGTTGATTTGTGTTGACTTTAACTATTTTATTCATTTAGTAAGTTTATGAAATTTCTTTTGTTTATACAAAATAGTGTTATATGTTTTATTAAGAAGATTTTCATTCATTACTATCAAAAAGAAATGTTTTTAATCATATTGGTTATTATCATAATGAACATAAAACATAGATTTAAAGGATGTAATATAATACTATATCATATTTGTTTTAATCTAAATTCAAAAAATAAAATAGAAAAATAAAAATAAAAACACAATGTTTTTTAATGATGATTTGGATGAGTTTAAAGGAATTGTTTTTTGATTTTGAAGTGCGATTTTTTGGTATTTTTTTCATCAATATCTGTATGACTTTTTTGGTTTCGTTGTTGATTACCTCAAAGCCAAACTTAAAATTAGAATTAATTTATAAGATATAATGTCTTTAATAGAATTAAACATTAAGCAACAGAACAAATAAATAATTAATAAGAGATATTTCTAACATGTTTTGGTATTAGAAAATAAACTAATAATTTAATAGAACAGAGATAGTTTCAAGATTGAATGAATTTCAATCAATGAACAAATTGAATAAATAGATCTACTTTTTTCAACTAGAATTCAATTCGAACAACAAGTATTTACACGTCATTTAACCATTTCCAGAAGGAAAGAATTGACCAAATTTAATTTGCGAATTTAGACAAAAAAAGAAATGAAAGAAACAAAGAAAAAAGAACCAAAAAGAACCAAATGACATTCTATTCATATGATATTCCTATTGTTCTTTTAGAAGTAGAAGAAATCCTTTTTGCTTCGATTGACCAAAAAATGCTTCTACCAATTCTTTATCTTTCTTCTCTCCTTCCAAACCAAAGCAAAAACATGGTAGAGCATATATAAATAATAACTGGAATAAAATTTAATATAAACAAATACACATATGGAATACAGACTTGAGAAAGATTCACTTGGAGAAGTTCAAGTACCAAAAGATGCATATTATGGAGCACAAACTATGAGAGCTACAAAGAATTTCCCAATTACACATCATAAAGTTGATCCAGATTTTATTCATGCATTTGGATATGTTAAAGAAGCTACTGCTTATGCTAATTGTGTTGATGGTATTTTAGATAAAGAAAAAGCTGATTATATTATGAAAGCAGCACGTGAATTGGCAGAAGGTAAATTTGATGAATCAGTTGTTGTTGATCCAATTCAAGGAGGAGCTGGAACTTCACTTAATATGAATTGTAATGAAATTATTGCTAATAGAGCATTAGAATTAATGGGACAAAGTAGATATCATCCAGATATTATTTCACCAAATACTCATGTTAATATGTCACAATCTACTAATGATGCATTCCCAACTGCATTCCATATTGCAGGATTATGGAAAATTGATAGATTAATTGCAGAAATGAAACTTTGTTATGAAGAAATTGAAAAGAAAGCCGTTGAATTTAATGATTATTTGAAAATGGGAAGAACTCATTTACAAGACGCTGTTCCAATTAGATTTTCTCAAGAACTTAGAGCATATAATTGTATTATTAAAAGAGGATGGGAAAGATTAGAAAGATCTAAAGCAGCATTTGAAGGAATTAATATGGGAGCAACAGCAGTTGGTACGGGATTAAATGCAGAACCAAAATTCATTGAAGCAGTTACAAAGAAATTAGCAGAAATTAGTAAAACAAATGTCAAGAATGTTCCTGATCTTGTTGATGGAACTCAAAACTCTGATTGTTATCTTGAAGTTCATGCTGCTGTTAGTATTATTGCATGCTGTATGAGTAAAGTTGCTAATGATCTTAGATTAATGACATCAGGACCAAGATGTGGATTAGGAGAAATCTTATTACCACCAAGACAACCAGGAAGTTCTATTATGCCAGGAAAAGTTAATCCAGTTATTGCTGAAGTTATGAATCAAACTTGTTTCCAAGTTATTGGTAATAACACTACAATTATGTGGGCTGCATCTGCTGGACAATTTGAACTTAATGTTATGGAACCAGTTATGTTTTATGATCTTCTTACTTCACTTGAAATAATGAAGAATGCATTCTTCACTTTTAGAACAAATCTTGTTCATGACTTAAAAGCAAATAAAGAAAGAATGCAATGGTTTGTTGATAATTCTGTTGGAGTTATTACTGCACTTAATCCACATGTTGGTTATGAAGTTGCTGCTGCTACTGCTAAAGAAGCTATTGCTAGTGGAAGACCTGTTAGAGATATCATTCTTGAAAAGGGTGTTTTGACTAAAGAACAACTTGATATTATCTTAAGACCTGATGAAATGACTACTCCAGGAATTGCTGGTGCTGAATTACTTCATAATAAGAAATAAAATCTTTTACTTCTTTAATAAAACAATTCATTTTTAATTGAATTTCTTTCATTTTTTTGAGTTATTTGTTTTCTTCTTTGAAGATAAATTTGACAATTATTGAATTATTTCTATTATAATTGTGTTATTATCTTTTCTTTAGATAAATGTCTTTCTTCTCTTCTAACAATAAAAACTTGTTTTTTTCTTTTAAATATCAAAATACTTTTATTCATAATAACTTTCACTTGTTATATTCGATTATGAATCATTCACAATTTTTTTTATCAAGAAGTTGTTATAATAACTGATGATAACTTCATGGATAATTGTAACCTGTAATTTAAGTATATTTTTGTTGTATGGTTATTGTTATACTTTTGATAAGTAATATTTGAAATAAAAAATAATACAACAAAATATTATAAAAAATGTTATTAATAAATTAGTTTTATTTTAATAGTTTTATAATTATTAATTTATTATAAAATATTTCTTTAGTTGTATTTTTAATACTTTTAATTAATTTTTCTTAATTAATATTATAGAATACCATCATTTCTTATATATCATTAAGTTATTTTCTTCTCACAACTTTCATTAATTTCATTTTTATTATTATTTATTTTGTTATTGAACAATGAATATAACATATTATTATTTGACTTATTTGATTTATTCTTTCTGACTAATTTCTTAATTGATTTAAACCTTTTTGATAGTATAGTTATTGTTTCTTGGTTTGAAGTACAAAACTTTTTTTTAATGACTGTAATAAAGGAAGTTATATGACTATTCAATTATCTGAATGGTTCGTTGTTTCTATGAATGATAATATCATAATTGGAAATTATACACTTCGTGTTGTTTTTGGTCTTGAGTTTGTTTATTTGGTTCGATCAGATGACAACTCAATGCTTTAATGTTAGTATCAGCATTACTGATAAGTTGATATTCATTAAAAGTCATCCAAATATATGGTTTTTGTTTTTTACCATCAACAGTTCTAAAAGTATCTTCAAGCCAAATTCTAGATGAACAATTTTGATAGGATTGGTTTGTGAGTTGAGATCTTAATGAATAACAATATTTCTTATTTATTTGAACAAATGGCTGACCTTGAATATTTGATTCAACAATAAAGGTGTCGTTTTGATTTATATCATGACTAACAGATATAAGACGCGTTCCATTTCTCCATTGGAAAATATTAAAACGGTCATCAACATTAATTAAGTCACTCATAAGAGAAGAACCATTTTCAGGTATATTATAATTTACTCCAATAAGAAAAACCCCACCATCACCCATTGTTTCATACCCGGTAATCAAATAACTTTCTGGAACTGTTGGTTGACGACAGTGAGAGTCAATGTTAATATTAAAAGTCCCTGCATTAGAACGAGCACGTTCGTTTCCAGTAATTAATTCATGGGCTTTAAGTAGTACAATATTTTTAAGACTTAATTCCTTTTGAATACCAATAACAGAAGTGAAACATTCTTTATCACATAGGTATTTTCCTCCAGCATTATTTTCATTTGCATTTTCCACTGTTTTAATAAATGTTTTATTATTTCGAATTGTGTCACTAAGACTATCTAATGGATATTTTAATGATGGATAAAATACTGAAAAAACAATTATTGAAGGAATTATCAAAAATAAGAAAATTCCCCATAACCCAAAAAGTACAACTTCATTTTTATCTGTTAGTTCTTCATCACTGTATCCTTCGTCATATTCATAATAATCACTTGAGTGTTTTCCTATCATAAAATTATCAAATGTTTTTTTTTTATTTTTTTACAAAAAAAAAAATAAAAAGATTATTTCTTATTAATACCAATTTTTAAGATTTTAATCCAATTACGAAAAATTGATGAAACAAAACCAATAAGACATAATCTTAAGATTATCACTTTCTTTTATGATAAAAACAACAAAAGGTCAAGTATATATATATAAAACAGAAAAAAGTAATTTATCAACGTTTAATGAATATCACTATTTGTCCACAATTTTTAAATTCTTGTGGAAAAGAATTTAAAATAAATGACTCTAAGATTAATCTTCGAGCTTTTGAGTTATCCCTTCATTTCCCAGAAATTGTTCAACGATATCGTGATATGATGACTAATAATAAATCACAAGAATGGGAAATAGTCCAAAAGAATGTTTTAGAGTTCAAAGAATTCATTAATACGATTATCAATGAAGCAATTCAACCAGAAATGATATATCTTCGAAATATTGAAGAAAAAGAAATGAAAAATAAAGAAATAAAAAATATCATTAATGAAGTAATTACAACAGAAGAAGAATATTCTAAAGATATTACACTTTATCTAAAAACATATGCTAAAATCCTCATCAAATCAAAATTTGTTGGAGAATTAGTTCGTGATAGTGAAGTAGTATTATTAAATATTATTGAATTATCCAATAAAATAAGTAAAGTTTTAAAATCAAAAAATTATTCTAACTTAATACTTTGTCTAGACTCCCTATGTGTGTATGATAGTTATTTCATATTTTATGAAAGGATTGTTTCCTTAATGCCAAAAATCTTAAAAGAATTACCACAATTACAAGAAATTAAAGGAAAACCAGAAATGAAAAATCTAGGTGTTTTAGACTTTTTAATTAAACCAATACAAAGAATTACAAAATACCCATTGTTTGTAAAAAATTTAAAGGATAATGTTGAAGATCCAAAAGATAAAAACTTATTAGAATTTCTTGATAATTATTTAAATGAACAATTGAGTAAGAGTAATAGTTCCCAAAAATGTTTTAGTTCAGAAAAAGAAAAAGAAATGATATTGCCATTATTAAAATGGAAAGGAAAAGATATTGATTTAAGTACATCAATGTTTATAATAAAATCAAATATTATTTCAGTAACACAAATTGAGAAAAATGCTATGCCTCTGTTAAAAGAAGTTAATTATTGTATTCTCTTTGATAGTCATCTTTTATTATCAAGGATGAAAGGATCTAAAATTTACGTTGAAAAAGTTATAACTTCTATATCACTTATTGAAGAATTTAATGATCATATTACTCTTCATTCAAGAAAAAATGTATTGTCTATTTGTTTTGTATCAAAAACTGATCAAAAACTTTGGATGACTAAACTAAAAGAATTTAAAGAAAAGCAAGACAAGTTAATAAATTCTTTTCATTCATTAAGTAGTACATCATCTCTTGGAAATAAGAATTTATCTCACCCAAGAAGACCAACAGCTGGGTCATTTGATTCTATGAAAATAGAAAATGCTATCACACAACAAAACTTACATCGTACAAAAAGTTCCGCATCTAACCCATCTATTTTATTGCTTTGATTTTACCATATATTTTTAAAAAAATTATTTTTTCTTTTAATTTTTCAAAAATTGTTTTGTTGACGCCACATTTTTTGGAGTAATAAATAAAAAGATCCAAAAGAACTATAAAAAAACTACGAAAATAACGAAGAATAAATTTGGTGAGATTTGATTCAAAAAAGAAGAACTATAAAAGAATAATAAAAATAAATAATAAATGAAAAGATATAAATAAATTATTCCTAAATGCTAAATTTAAATTAATAATATAAAAATATCCGTTAATAAAAAACTATTAAATTTGAACAATTGCCTGTTAAAGAATTTTTTCATGAAGTTTTTTAAGAAAGATAACAAATAGAAAAAAAGACATTAAGTAATTAAATACAAATCTTAAAGCCCTGATGGTAAATTACTTGTTTTATGTTCTGAAGATTTGATCCAGTAATAAAGAGTTGATGCACACAAACCTTTATATTCTGGTGTTTTTTGAAGGAAACGTGTTGCTTTAGATAATCCCATTTCCTTACCAATTTTAACAGCCTTTTCTCTAGATGTTTTGTCCCATCTTTTTCTTTTAGGAGAATTACTTTTTATTTCAGCACTAGGAATTGTAGTATTAACAGTCTCTGAAGAAAGAGAAGGTGATTTTAATGTATTATATCCATCAAGTATTTGGTAAAATTCTTGTTTACAAGGAGTGAATACTGAAGTAGCCATAACAATTATTCAAGAAATGAAAATGACTTTAAAACAAGTTCTGTTTTTATACTTAAAATGGATTAAAAATAAGTACAATCTTTGAACAATCACTTTTATTTTTCAAAACGAAAGTCATATTTTTGACTTCTTTTTAAAACCATTTCTTTAAATTTATTTTTTCAACCCTTTTTATTTCTTTTATTTTTCTGGTTTTTTTGTTTTTTATTTTTCACTTTTCTTTAATGACTTAAAATTCTATCTTTTTCCCTTTCTTAAGTTTTCATAGTTTTTTAATAATCCCCTTCTTTCTACAATCGGAGATTTGTTTAAACCTTCTATTCTTTTCAATGATATCTTTATAAAGTTGTTTTTTTTTCAAATTGAGATATTACTTCATATGAGAACTTTATTTATTATTAAAACATAACATAAACAAATAGTAATTGTTTAATTCTGAAAAAGGAAGTATTTATTTGGCTATGCAATATAAAAATTATCTTTCTAAATAATATTTAATTGAAAAAATCAAATCCAATTTAGAAATAAAATATTTTAATATCTATTTAAAAAAAAAATTATGTGAATGAATATTTAATAAAGTTTTAGTGCATGTTTTTGCTTTTGTTGTTTCCATTTTGGTTGTGCTTCAAATTGTTCTCTTGTCATTTTAAAAACTTGTTCAAATTCAGTGTCACTTAAGTAATGTTCTAATTGAGACATATCAATACCAGCAGGGAATCTATGATGAACAAGATCATCATAAGAATATGTTTTAGTTAATTTCAATAATTCTTCTAAACAATTATCCATATGGTCATTAACACTTATAACTTGTTTTTTATTTACTCTCCATCCATGGAAATAATTTGTAAATACAAAAGGTTCTTTACCATCATAAACCAACCAACATTCTCTATTCATTCTTTCATTTTCTTTAGTTCTTTTAATAAATTCATTTGTTGTTTCCATAGCAAATTTTTTATCAATAGCAGATACTTCTTTTCCAATCCATAAATAACAAATGTCATAACAATCTAATAACATAGCAGCTTTAGGTTCTAAATCTTCTTGATACCAATCTGTTACTTCTTCAACAGCAAATACTCCACTTTTACTTGACATTTCAAATAATCTATTTTTCCATTCAACACTCTTTGTTTTTAATATTCTTTTTCCTCCAATAACATTCCAAAATTCTTCTGTTTCTTCTCCTTCATTCATTTCAATAACATCTTTTCTTTGTACATCATTATATTTTTGAATTAAAAGATGAGTAAATTCTAATTCTTTTTTTCCTGTTAATTTTCCTTTCCAAAGATAAGTAATATTTTCTGTAGTAATGAGGAAAATTCCTTCTGAAGTTAATCTATTTGGAATATCATGTTGTTCAATTTCTACTGCCTTAACATGTTCTAAATTAACACCACACTTTCTAATATCAAATACTAATCGTTGTTCTTTTTTAGTATTTTTGAGAATGTCATAATCCCAAGTTCTTTTTCCTTTAGTTTCCTCTTTTGCAGAAGGATCTTTTCCAAGACGAATTACCATAAATTCAAATATAGCTAAAAAGTGATTTGTTTCTGTATTTTGTGCAATACGATATTCTTTTGCTTCATCTTTTAATTTTCTATGTAAGTCAACAGTTAATCGTGCACTTGTTCCTTTATCTAGTATTGGACATTTCCTTCCTTGCCAAAAATATAAAATATGATATTCATTATTCCATTTAATATAAGTATATTGAATAATATAACTTTCACTTTCAAAAAACTCTCCAACTATTGGTGCATCAACTCGTTCAAAATCATCAATTCTCCATACTTTCTTTTTACCATCTGCATTATCAATAAAAACTTCTTTTCTAATTGGAATTTCTTTAGTTAACATCATTGAATAATCAACAGCACTTCCACGTACAATTTTTTTCTGATCATCAAATGGAATCATTGGATTTTTCTTTATATTATTACTATTATCATAAAAATCACAAAATCGTTCTTTAAACATAGCTTGTTCATATCCTGGAAATTCAAAATAGAGTGGTGCAACCCAAACTTCTTTTCTTCTTTCTAAATATCTTTTTTGACAATCTTGAATATATTGTTGTCTTCTATCTTTAATTACTCTTGTACCAACCCACATATACATTTCACTATAACAATCTAATATATAACAACTATTCACTTCTAATGAACTTTTACTAATTTCCTTTCCTTCATAACTCCATCTTTCAATATCCACTTTTTCTTTTAATCCATCCCACCAATATTTATATAATGTAACATATTTCATTTGAGCTAATTCCATTACTAAATCATCTCCTCCATCTTCTGCACTTTTAATTTTACCTTCTTTCTCTCCAAGTGCTTTCCAAAATTCTTTAGGTTCATTGTCTTCATCAATAGTTTCAGTTTTAACACCTCCTCGTTCTTTAGCAATCATTTTTGATAATTCCATAGCTTTACCTTTTTCCATTTTATTACTACTTTTTCCAAGCCATACATAAATACATTTAGCACCTTTTCCTGGATCAAATATAAATGCATCTCCTGAATTCAAACTTTCCCATGAACATTCAACCAATCTTGCAAATGGATTTCTTTTTCCTTTAATATGAATTAACCTTTTAATATCCCTTGCATTTCCTGTTGGTGCAGCTGCTAATTTCTTTCTTTGAAATAATAAATCTTCTGCTAATACACGAGCAGTAGCTTTTTCAGTTGTTTGTTTAGTACTTCCAACTGCATCTCTTTCTGCTTGAGCAACTGTTTTAGTTCCTTTAGTCCTATGTTTTTTACTTGGTCGTTTTTTAATATTCATTGTCTTAACTTCTTCATTTTCAACTAAGTCTTTCCATTCTTTTTTGTCTTTAAGTGGTTTATTTTCAACTACTTTTCTTTTATTTTCTTCTTCTTGTTTAATTTTTAATTCTTCTTCTTGTAACTTTCTTTCATTTTCTTCCTCTTCTTCTTGTAACTTTCTTTCTTCTTCTTCAATTCTTTTAATTTCTTCTTCTAATTTTCTTTCTCTTTCTTCTTCTTCTAATTTTCTTTCTCTTTCTTCTTCTTCTTTTCGTTGTTGTTCCTCTAATTCTTTCTTTTTTTGTTCTTCTTTGAGTTGTCTTTCTTCCTCTTCTTTTTTCTTTCTTTCATTTTCTTCAATTTCTTTCTTTTTATTTTCTTCTTCTCTTCTTATTCTTTCAAGTTCTTCTTCTTTTTTCTTACGTTCTTGTTCTCTCTTGATTCGTTCTTGTTCTCTCTTGATTCGTTCTTGTTCTCTCTTGATTCGTTCTTGTTCTCTCTTTTTTCTTTCTTCTTCTAATTTGGCTCGTTCTAATTCAATTCTTTGACGTTCTTCTTCTCTTTTTCTTCTTGTTTCTTCTTTGATTCTTTCCTTCTCTTCTTTAGCTTTTTTCTTGTTATCTTCTTCTTGTTGTTTTCTTTTGATTTCTGCTTCTAGTTGTTCTTGTTTCTTTTTTTTTTCTTCTTCCTCTGCTTTTTGTTTGTCTAATTCTTTCTTATTTGATTCTTTGACAGTTGTTGATTGTTCTACCTTCATTTCAACTAACTTCTCTTCAACCAAATTACCTTTTTCTTTCTTAACTTCTTCTTTTTGATTTTTAATATGTTCTTTCTCAATACCAAGTTCTTTCTTAGATTCAAAAATAGAAGGAGTAACAACTCTTATTTCTTCTATATCAATGTCTTGTTCTGGGACACGACCATAATCTTCAGAAACATAAGAGCTGTCTGATGATGATATTTCATTAGCAAATATATCATCATCGTCATCAGTATAATCATATTCTTCATCGTCAATTCCAAAATTGTTATACGTAAAATCTAAAGGATTAAGAGTAATATCTTCAAGCATAGATTTTAACATATCTTCATACATCATTCGTTCATTGTCTTCATTTAAACCATCAACTTTGTCTGTTCCAAGAATTTTACGTTCATTTTCTCCATCAGCATTTTCAACAAAATATTCTTTAAATAATTGAGTCTCTGCACCTTCAATAACAAACTCCATTTTATCTCTTCTTCTAAAACTCATATCAAGTAATTCTTCAGCTTTGAGTACAGCAACAGTTCGTTCTGTTGGAGATGTTTCTTTTCCACACCAAACAAAGACAAGTACACCTGTATCTATAACAACAGTAGTATTAGTGTTTAATTGATTAATAGAAGGTCTTCCAGGAACAAGAAGAATTTGAGGACCATGTCGTTGTAAAGCAATAACAAATACTTTTAAAAATTCACTAATTCTTTCCATAGTTTCTTTTGCTTTATATTTTTCTTTTATAGCTCCAA